TGCGTGAAGGGCAGGGAAAGGGGATCGCGTTGATTATTTATTTATTTATATTTATAATTTATTAAATTATTTATTTATCAACTTTTCAAAGTACGAGGCGGGCGTCCCTCGGTCCGCCCGGACGGCTGGGAAGGGGGCAGAAGGGGAATTTTTCGCTTTTCCCAACTTGCCAGCCCCACCTCCGCGCCCGCGGCCACCAGCAAAACTAAAGCAATCCCGCTCTGTGCCTCCAGCCCCACGCTGTGTCCCGGAGAGCCGGGTGACCTGGGGCGAGTCATTGCCTTCGCTGAGCCTTTGCATCAGCAAAATAGGACATGGGAGTGGGTGGGGGCGGGGCCGCTGTGTCATTTGCGGGGTGCGGGTCACCGTCCCGGGAGAACGTGGGGGCGCCTCTGCGCTGCGAGTTCCCACTGCTCCTCCCAGGGGCTCAGAGACCAAGAAGTCGCCTGCGGTCTCCCTCCGGGGCGTTCAGGTGCCGCACGTCTGGCACCTTAGTCGCCTCGCTCGCGCTCCGGTCCCATTCGGACTGTGGTCCTAGCCCCTGTCGCATCCCTCGTCCAGGGGCCCCCGTCCCCTCCTCCTCTGTCGCCCGCCCATCTCTATCCTGGGTCTCTGGCTGTCTTCTCCCGGTCCCTTTCCTCCCTGTCACCCGCACGCACAGGCCATAAAAGGAGTCGAGGCAGCGAGCTGGCCCCGCTCCAGGCCGGGGACGCCCCGCTCCCCGCGCGGACCGCTGCGAGGTTCCCGGGCCGGGCGGGTCGAGCCGATCCTCTCCCCGGCGCTGGGTGGGAGACAACCCAAAAAGGCCAGGCGCGGGCTCCTCCTGCAGGAATTCCCAGCGCCGCATACCAGCCGGGGCTGCCCGCTCCCCCTGACTAAATATGGTGCCGAGCGCGGCGCGGCGCGCGGGCGGGGATGGGGACCGGCCGCATCCCGCAGCTGGCCGCCGCCGCCCGCGGGTGGAGGGGACCCTCTGCCCGGGCAGAGCCCAGAGGGGCCGTCCCGCTCCAGGCCCACGTGCGCCCAACTGCTTTAAGCCGGAGGATCTGGGGAAAGGGTTAAAAAAAGTTGGGAAGACCCTTGGCAGGCTCTGTACCTGGCCCACGCCCTGTCCAACAGCCCGGGAACCAATAGGAACCAATATCTCCATTTTTCAGACGAGAAGATCGGGTCCCTACAGGGGACTGCCATGGATTGGGACAGCCAGGGATTGGTGCTGGGGCTTTGTGAAAGGAAGATTCACTTCCAGACAGGGGACTTCCGGGGGAGCACAGGAGAAGGCCAAGGGCAGGAGCTGAGGGTGGACGTCTGGGAGTCAAGCTGCCAGAGCCACTTTCTAGCTGTTTGGCCACGAGCAAGTGAGTTCACCTTGCCAGGCCTCGGTTTCCACACCTGGAAAACGGCAGGACTTCGGCCCTTCCTGTTTGGGGATAAGCAGTCCCTGATGTGAAAGGAGCAGACCTCTGGCCGGGCTCCGGGAAACCAGGTCCAGCTGCACAGACCCTCCAATAGAACTTTCAGACAGCTGTGCAGCTCAGACCCTCCCGGTCCTGGGGACACCCCTCCAACATCAAGTCCACCTGGTTTTCACCCTTGAAAGCATCTGCGCCCAACCCCCACCGGCTCAGAGGCCTGAATCCTACTGCCAAGAGCAGCCCGAGTTCCACGGCTGGGGAAGTTCAGGGTGAAGCTCTTTCGAAAATGACAAATGAGCTGCTTCCCCACATACCTTTTCACATCTACACTGTAAAAGGAGTGGAAATTGTCTTTGCATTAGCAGAGAAAGGGGGAAGACTCAGCCGATCCTCACCTTCCCATCCTGGAAAGAGTCCAGAGCGGCTGGCCCAACCCAGCCTGGCCCCCTCCGAGGAAGGACTGGCATTTCCACCACTGGCCCTAAACAGTGGTATTCCACAGGGCTGCAGCTGATTCCTTGAAGAACTTGTTGGTAACTTTGAGAAGAGAGTAATTAGAAGCAGAGACTTTGAAGCCAATGCTCAGTTTTACTTGCTGTCTCCTGTGGTCCTTAATAAGGACATGACGTAGGTGAGGGTCTGGAGAGGTGAGACACCCAGGGCAAGTAGCTGGGGTAGTTAGCAGTGGGGCAGGGATTCCAAGCACCGCCTGAGTCTGCAGTAAGCACAAGTCTGACTTTTAATACTAAATAAGCACCAGCCAAGCAGCTGCAGGCTGGTTGCTGTACCTGAGTCCATTTTCTCAAAGGAAAAGCAAAGATGAGACCCTGCCTTGGCTAGCTTGCCGTGTTGTGAATATGATGGTGTTGACGCTTTCCATCAACCACTTCATCATGCATGCTCTAGAAGTGCCCAGAGATGGCATGTTCACGTAACGGCCGTTCAGTATGTGCCGGCCCATGCACCACGTTCAGATGCTGGAATCTTCAAAAGTGCATTCTTCTATGAATTAAAGCAGATGCCTGTTTTATTTCTCATGTCTCAAAAGGCCAGTTATTTTAAGATGGAGACAAAAAGCTGCTTTACAAAATGTCACTTTGAGTGCTGTCAAATATTTTTCCGAGGCACGTCTTTTCTGTGAGGGACCATAGAATGCGCATTTCCATGAACTATGGGGGAGAGGAAATCTTTCTCTCAGGATCTTTTTAAAAATAATTTCTTGGGTTGGGGATGTGGCTCAAGCGGTGGCACGCTCAGCTGGCATGCGGGCGGCCCGGGTTCGATCCTCAGTACCACATACAAACAAAGAAGTTGTGTCCGCCGAAAACTAAAAAATAAATATTAAAATGTTTTTTCTCTCTCTCTAAAAAAATAAAAATAATTTCTTGTTACTGTTTTCAAAAAGCCCCCAAAGTGTGATTCCCTCCAATTTTTATTTCTCCCTAAGTTGCTGAGGCTGGCCTCTAACTTGCAATCCTCCCACCTCAAACTCCCGAGCTGCTGGGATTGCAGGTATGCACCACAGCACCCGACCCCTTCTAATTTCTAGTTATCAAAGATAGGTCACCCTAAGCATGATTTACTCCTGTGTGGGCTTCAGGATTTATTTACTTAAAAGGTAAATAGATTTATATACTCAAATAAATACTTAATAGGCCCCAGGTATCATCTCAAGTCCACCTGGCCCAAGATTCCTGACCACAGCACAACTGTGCCCCCTGCACTGCCCAGAGCACTTCCGCTCAGCCAGGCGGCCCCACGCTTCTCCAGGTGTAAGACTGCACTGGGTAGTGACCTGCCACCCTCCTTGTCACCAGTTTCCAACTCTGGCCTCCCAGTAACTGTAGATTCTCTACCACTATCTTAGGAAAGGGTCCCAAGAGTCTCAACAAAAATCATTTTTTACAAAACCAAACATTTTCTTACCATATGATCCAGCCAGTGACGCTTTTTAGGAATTTATCCAAAGGAGTTGAAAACTTATGTCCAACACAAAAACAAAAACAAAAAACCCAACCTGCACATGGATGTTTGTAGCAGCTTTGTTCAAACTGCCCAACCTTGGAAGCAACTACTATGTCCCAAGTGGGGGATGGACAAATAACAGTGGAATACTACTCAAGACTAAAAAGAAATGAGCTTTCAAATCATGAAGCAGAGGGGAACTCATGCAGGGTCCTGGGTGAAAGAAGCCAGACTGAATGTCTCCAGCTAGAGTCTCTGCAAAAGGCAGAGGAAAGCCCAGCACAGAGGGTGTGGGGGGAACTTGCTGTCTAACACTATACTGTGAACACATGTGAGTACACGTTTGTCCAAAACCACAGGACAGACACCAAGTGGTCCCTAACGCAACCATGGACCGTCCACAATGACAGAGATGCGGAGGCTGCTCGTCCCTGGGGGCAGGGAGGAGAGGGCACTTCCTTTCTATTTAGCTGCCATCTGCAACTGCTCTAAACAATATCATCTACTTTTAAGAAGGTAGTTTTCCTTCATTTTCTTTTTTAAAAATCCACGGAGATCATAGTCTATGCCTAACAGTTGTTACAAACGTCACATACCAAGGACCTCTAAAGGCAGATTGTCACAACTCGATCCTTCCTGTGCACTTGGCTTTAGGCTAAAAGAACTCATCAAGGTTACACAGTCACACAGGCTCGTGAGCCACACACAAATGTGTACTCGCACGTAATTATAAAGCGATTCGTTTATTCTATGCAAATACATATGCCAAGCCTGTTCATCATCTTCAAATGCCCTCTGAGCCTGGGGCTCTGGATTTTTGGACTGTCCACGTTTTAAATCTCCACCTCCCTAAATCCCTTCTGTTCCACTTTCCCATTTGATTTTTGTGTAAATCCAACATTTTCCCCCAACTTCTCCCAAGCCCAGGGAACCCACCAGCACTATGGAGCTCTCTCTTTCCTTGAATCCATTTGTGCTCGATTTTCTTTCCCCCAGTGTCTCCCTGCTCAGGCACTGCCTTTTTGAGCTCCTGGATTAAAAACTGACACTATTGAAAAATCTCAAGTATGGAAATTTCTAGGGCAGATTTTTTAACACGAAGTCCTTCTTTTTGGATAATAAAATTCTCAGTGAATGTTTTGTCTTTTCTTTTTCTTTTTTTTTTTTTAAAGAGAGAGTGAGAGAGATAGAGGTAGAGAGAGAGAGAATTTTTTTTTTTTTAATATTTATTTTTTAGTATTTGGCGGACAACATCTTTGTTTGTATGTGGTGCTGAGGATCGAACCCGGGCCGCACGCATGCCAGGCGAGCGCGCTACCGCTTGAGCCACATCCCCAGCCCTTGTCTTTTCTTTTCCAAATATAAATGTTTTCAAACCACCCCTGCCCCCCATTATCATGCTACCCCCCCGAGGGACTGGCACAGGCCCCCCACTGCACCCTGGGAATAGCTGCTGCAGGGTGACAGGGCTGAAGCCCAGGACACAGACCCCAGCCCCTACTCCTGGTTCTCCACCATGAGGACCCCGACAGGCAGCGGGAGAGCCACCAGGTCCTTCTTCTGTTTCTGTGCCCAGCTCTTGACCACACAGCAGCGATACAAACACCCTCTGCACAAAGGTGAGTTGCTTAAAATTTTTTTAATTAAATGATATATTGAAAGTATAAAAGTTGCCCAGGCACAGGAGTTACAGAGTAATGCACACAGAAGGCTACAACACCGGTGACAGTTCTGGTCAGCTTTCATTATGATGGTTTTTCAACAGTATCCAAAATCATCAACTCCAGCATTTTTCCTTAATCTACATGATTGCAATTCCTGAGGTAAACTTAGTGACAACAACTTGGATGTGAACCAAGACTGCTGGGAAAAGTCAGATCTTTATATTCCCACATATGATACAATGGAATTCATAATTGTAATCAGACATTACAGATTTAAAAGTGAAAATGGGCCCTTACAAGACTCTGCATCTACAGATATAATTTTAACCCACAAACAGGGCTCTCAAAATCTTTTTTTTTGGGGGGGGGGGTACCAGGGATTGAACTCAGGGGCACTAGACCACTGAGCCCCATCCCCAGCCCTATTTTGTATTTCATTTAGAGACAGGGTCTCACTGAGTTGCTTAGAACTTTGCTGTTGCTGAGGCTGGCTTTGAACTCAAGATCCTCCTGCCTCAGCCTCCCAAGCCACTGGGATGACAGGCATGAGCCACTGCGCCCAGCTGTCAAAATCTTTTGACTTATAAAATACAGTTTCAAGGGGTTTCATTAGTAGTTTCTGATGGGCTGGGTAGCTCAGTGGTAGAGCACCTGCCTAGAAAGCCTGGGGCCCCGAGCTCCAGCCCAAACACAATAAAATAAAAATGAAAAACAATGGTGATTTGTGTTTAGATAAAAATTTTTAATCTGTAAGGAGTAAATACAATTAACATCATCAAATATAAAAATCAAAGGTTTCTGTCATTTTCAAAGTTAGCACATACCCAGCACCCCAAGGATGGTGACAGCGGCACCAGCCACAGCCCTCAGATTCTCCCGTGGGAAGCACGCGGCTAGACGGTCACGTCCAGGCGCTCTGAGTTCCAGCGCCCCACGACTCTGCACCACGAGCAGGCTACCCTGAGAGCTGTCTTAGTGAAACTCCACACCACGAGACTTCCTTAGCAACGATCAAAGGGGCTTCTGGAGACACACGGACATTCAAAATGACTTCCAGAGCCTGCGCAGGAAGGCGCGCGTCCCTCAGCAGTCTTAACTGCACGACCCGGGCCACGCGGGGCTTCAACAGTGCCTCTAGGGAAAGCTCCTTCTGGTATTTCCCTAAAGCCTGTCACTTCATGTCATTTCACGTTCTTTTTTTAGTTGTAGGTGGACACAATATCTTTGCATTTATTTATTTATTTCATGTGATGCTGAGGATCAAACCCTGTGCCTCACACACATGAGGCAAGGGCTCAGTCACTAAGCCACAACCCCAGCCCCTTATTTTACATTCTTTTTTTTTTTTTAATATATATATTTTTAGGTGTAGATGGACACAACACAATGCCTTTATTTTTATGTGCTGCTGAGGATAGAACCTGGGTCCCGCCCGTGCTAGGTGAGCGCTCTACCACTGAGCCACAAACCCAGCCCCCCTTATTTTACATTCTTAATAAAACAAAATAAACTCTTTGTTTTACTTATAGCATGTTAAAAGAATTATTTCCCCCTCTACCTTTTAATTAAATTTTCCAGCGGAAGCCAAAATGGACTAAGGAAAGAAAAAGTACTTGGTTATCTATTTACAAACTAAACTTTAGGTAGTAATTCAGACATTTAAGCTGAATCATGAGTGGTTTTCTGAAAAATAGGTCCTTTAAGAAAAATCAAACTGTACAGGAAATTAGTTTTGGTTTTAATATTCTTTAAGTCATGAATGAATTTTCCTACAAGTTCACATGATTCCAACTGAAGGAAATTTAATTAATGTGCATGTCAAGGAGCAGAACATGTGGATAACGGCCTAGAACTTTTTTTAGAAGAAGGTACAAAGTTCTAAAAGCCCTTGCGCCTTTTTCATGAACTTCTGGACCTTTAAACTACTTCGTAAAAACCATGCACCTTCTTTCCAGTCACATCCAATAAGCTAGATGACAGAGTTAGCTTTTATTCACAAATGCAGTAAAACATGAGGGGTCAAGTATTTTGCAGAAACTCAAATTTCTACAAAATGGTAACTCTGGAATGATAAATTCGTTACTTAATACACACAATTTTAAGATAAAAGATACTCTGCATCGAAGTGTCATCTCTTCACGGCTTGAGAAAGGGGGACAGCCTCAGTGTTGGTGCCTTCATCCCTCTCCTTTCCTGGTGGTCACCTGGAATGAGCAGAAGCACATGTCAACATGTATCCCAAGCCACAGGGGTGGCCACACCTGCACGTATTTTCCAATGTTGTCATGCACTCTTTGATGAGTTCTGAAGATGGCTTAAGATGATGAAAAAAAAAATCTTTTTTTTTTTTTTTTTGGTATTGGGGCTTGAACCTAGGAATAAGTCAAATCCCCAGCCCCTTTTATTTTTTAATTTTGAGACAGGGCCTTGCTAAGGTTTCCTAGGCTGGCCTGGAACTTGTGAGCCTCAGCTACCCAAGGGGCCGGGATCGCAGGCCTGCACCACTGCACCTACCTTTAAGTGCACTTCTTAAACCTACTGAGGAAGTCAGAAATGTTCAGTCCTCGGGGCTAACTATTCAAAAGTGTTTCTTGCCCCTTTTTTTTTTTTTAAGTGAAGGAGGCAGGCTGGAGGAAACCCCTGCGTGATGAGTTCCAGGCCTCCCTCTTATTTGTAAGGAATGGAATTCACGAGGGAGGAGGACAAGTGGTGGGTCAGCGGCTGAGGGCGCCAGGGCTCTTCCATCAGAAACAAGACCTTCAGACACAAGCGCCTCCCAGCAGCGCCCTCTGGTGGCAAGAAAAACATGGGCACATTCACATCTTCCTACCGAGATTCGAAAACTCCTGGAACCGTGGAAAATGTTTTCAAAAGCCCCAAAACAAGACAAGAAAGCTCCAGGAGGCTTCTGTGACTCCTGCAGTGCTCTGGCCACAGTAAAGGGGGCACTTCTGCCCAGCCCAGCACTGCCACAGCTGACAGAGCCTTTCTTGTGTCAATTCTTTTAAGAAAATACAAATTTAGGCAAGCAATTAGAAAAATGCATAGTAGAGGATAGGAAAGGCAGCAGAATACAACAGACACTAGTATGGCAATATGTAAATCAATGGATGTGTAACTGATGTGATTCTGCAATCTGTATATGGGGTAAAAATGGGAGCTCATAACCCACTTGAATCAAATTGTGAAATATGATATATCAAGAACTATGTAATGTTTTGAACAGCCAACAATAAAAAATTAAAAAAAAAAAAAAAGAAAAAAAAAAGAAAAATGCAGATTTAGTACCAAAAATCCACACTTGGTTTTCAAATCCTTAAGAAGAGGTGACATCTCCCAGAGTTGAATGTCACCAAAGGCTGAGCAGCCTTAGGACTAGGACCTCTCCAGTCTGGATAACAGATGGAGATCTCTCTCTCCCCACATTTGGGCAACTTTGTTGACAGAACAAAATGAACAAGTTCCTTAGAGCACAATGATGTTAGGTCTTCTAGAAAAGTCACGTTCTAGAAAATGGAGTCTGCATTTTTGTATAAAGTCGAGCTGATAAAGGTTTTCTCTAAACATCTTGTCTTTATTCGGAGCAAAAACTTCTTTGCCTGCAAGGTGGCAAGGGTCAGCAGCAGCAGGACAGTGAGCTGCGCTCTCGGAGGGGTTTCCCCCACTCTGAAAGCTCTTATGAGGTGTGCTTCCATCTTGGCAGGCTTTGGGCTTATTTTCAAATGGAAGCAGATTTTGTTTGATGTCTTGTCTTGCATCCGGATGGGCTGGTGCAGTGATAAGGCGTGTGGCTTGCAGAGTGGTCACTTTACTATTTCTGCGACCTCCTCAGTGCTGTCAGGTAAGAGTGACGCAGCTCCAGACGTGCAGGTATGCAGGCTAAGAAAGCGAGTGGACTGCTGAACCGTGTTCCTGAAACATGACGCAACATGTGGCTGACAGTGCTTCAAGTCATTGCACAAAGAAATCACTGTTGTGCCAAGAAAATAATTTGCAAGTCATCATTCTTGTCCACTGGATCAGTGGTCACCCTCACTGCTGGGCTTTCTATGGAGCTTGCCACAGAACAGGCACCCAAAGCTGCTTTACTGCCTTGAAGCCGATTCTACGATACTTTTGGCACTTTGTCTCTTGCCCCTTCTTTCCCTCCGTGTCCATCCCTGTGTGGTGTAAGACAGCAGGAGCTCATCAGTGCCTTCCACCTCTGAACAGAACTTGGTCAGGAAGTACCTGTCACTAGCAGGAATGTTAAGAGGCTGATTATAAGAAGCTTACGAGCCAGAAAGGCTTATTTCTCAAGAGGCTCTCTTTCTTCCCGGGACTAATACAATGTCTTGCGATTGCTGTGTAACAAGTGCTCATGTGTCACCCAGATCCACTGGAACAAACGGATAGAGTCACATATTCCTGGGAAGTGTGTAAACAATTTGTGCTGGTTTTCAACATGCGTACACTGTGACCAGCAATTCTACTTTACGTGCCCACACAGAAGAACTAGTGGTAGGAGTGGGCAGAGCGATGAGCTCTCTACCACGGCTAGAAACTCAGCTAAAATGCAATCCAAAAACGGAGGCTCCACTACTGATGTAACTGAACAACTGAAAGCTCATTTTAACAGCAAGCATTCTGAAAAAAAAGATCAAGTCATTCTAAGAATCCATTATTTGTCAAAATAACCACCATCTACTGTAAAAAAAAAAAAAAAAAAAAAAAATCCTGAAAATGCAAAGGACACATGGCCCATGACTTCTCCATCTGTGTTTCGCTCCTGGACAGAAAAAAATGATAATGTTAGAGTCTGTAAACAAGTCAAAAATAACACCTGGCATTTTGCCAGGGGAATGTTAGAGTCTGTAAACAAGTCTGGATGGTGCCTGGCAAAATGCCAGAGGGAATGGTTTGAGAAGTAACAAAAACAAGCCATTAAGTGTGGAAATTCCTTATTGGTTGACTGATGTATCTAGTTTATGCTAATTAGATAAGCTATGTGGAATGTATAAATACTGCTCCTGTCCTGCAATAAACGGCTCCTACTCCTGCTGTATCAACATACAAAGTTATTCGTCACCCCCCGGTTATTTTGCTGCAGCCAGACAGACTACGGCAGATCCCTTGGTAAAAAAACTACTTTTGCAGTATACAGATCTGCAGTGCTCCAAGGACTATAAATAAAAATCGGGTTTTGCAAAACTTTTGTGTGTGTATATGAATTTACATGTATGTGTGTACACACACACACACACACACACACACATATAAACTTTCCCAGTTATTCCCCTACTCTTTTTAAAATTTTCTTTCCAAAAAGTATTTCTTGAAGGTTGAGTAACATAAGCTCACTGTATTAGACATAAGTGAAATTAAACTACGGCTCAAAAGCTCAGGAAAAACTCCTTCAAGGATACAAATGCACAGGAAGAAAACACACTTATTAAAGCTAAAAGAGGAACCTCAGGAACCTCTTACCCATCGGCCTTCTTCTGTCTGACAAGATTTGGGTTTGAAGGCTGAAGTGAAGACTCTTTCAGAAAGGTGTTTGGGACACCGTCCTTAGTTCCATGCAAGAAATGAGCCAAAATTCCATATAAAAGAGGTCTGTAGCAGGAAGAAAACAAAAAAATCAATTAATTTGACATAAAAGGGACAACTAAAAACATTTATTCTTTAAAAGATAACCTCTGACACCAAAATGGCCAAGTAATTCACTAGGCTTAAAAACAGTTCTATATCTACCCGGTGCAGCCCGAGTTTGCAATAAAACCGGGACGCTGGAAAAAAAAAAAAAACAGTTCTATAAGCAGTGGTGCATGCCTATGATCCCCGTGATTCAGGAGCTGAGGCAGGATTATCATAAGTTCAAGGCCAGCCTCGGCAATTTAGTGAGACCCTTTCTCAAAAACAAAAGGCTGGGGATGTGGTTCAGTGGTAAAGCACCCCTGGGCTCAATCCCCAGTATCAAAAAATAATATTAAGAAAATAGTGTATGATTATTATTTGAGTTGTGAACTATTCATACTCTTAAATTTAAAAGTACCAATTGAAGGAAAATTTAAAACCCAGAGAAAACATGTGAACAACTTAAAATTCATATAAACTGAAATACTATGAATCAATTCATAGGAATTCAGCTTTTAAACTCCAAGTCCATATACCTCCCAGTATCTGACTCTGCCTGATAATAGGACAGCAAATGCCTGTTGAATAAATCAGGGCCCAGAAAACATCACACATCCAGACAGCCAGGGCTCCAATACTGGCTTTGCCACCTGAGGTGGGGAAAGCACAGGCCCAAACGCCACGCACTGAGTGCTTAGGGCTTGCCCGGCACACACGTGGCAGCTGAATTGTTCACCAAACACTCCTACTCCTCTTCATTTTATCCTCCCTTTGTGATGTCATAACCATTATCATCAATTTGTGAATGAGAAATCCACAGCCCAGAGATTAATAAAGTTCATATTTATACCCCAAGTCCCATACTTTTTCTAGAAATATGCCACCCAGGAATTGATATCAGTGCCTTTGCATCAATGAAAGCTGCTCTGTTGACAATACAGAAATGTTTTTAATTGCATCCTTGAAAATACAATGAACTTGACTTATTTTTTTAGATATCCACCTACTTACCAGCTAGTATGGTTCAAAGCATGAACAAGTCCTTTGAAACTGGAACCAAACTGCCCTCCCTGAGAACTGGTCTCAGTTCCCACACAAGGAATAAGATGGAGAGTGACAGTGTCTACCTCCTTGCTTTCTCTCTAGGGGAAGGTCGACTCCCAAGGACTCTCCAGCAGCCCCCTGGGAATGAAGAGCAAGGAGCTGAGGCCTCCTGCCCATCAACAGCTGGCAACCGAGAGCAGACGGGAAGCACACCTCCCAGCCCCAGCAAGCCCAGACGCCGCAGCCTCAGGAGGGAGCCTGAGCTCGACTCTCCAGCTATGCCCATTCCCCACATTCGCTACAGACAATGATAAACATTTGTTTTAAGTCATCAGATTCTGGGCAGTCGCTTAGGCAGCAATAAATAATTGCATATCAAAGCAATTTCTCCATGTTACCAGGAAAGCAGGAAAGGAGGTTTCTCTAAGAGGAGTCCCAACCCTTTCTTAGACAGGCCTCACCTAGCAATTAAAAGATACGTCTCCTATTATTTTAAGCCAGTCTTTCCCCAAGTATTAATTTGTTAAGATGATTGTTAAATGTTTAAATTTTTATATTTTAAATATGGATAAGATTGACAAAAGATTGAAATTTTTTAAAAAAATCAAGTATTCTAACTTGTATATAACTAACACATTTAACTTGCAATTTCATGGATATTAAGAGTCATTTTTTAAAATAAGTTTTAAAAAGATCATTTAAAGTACAGCCTCACATACAATACTGAAAAATCAAACCTCTCAAAACTGGAACTTTCTTCATAAGGTTGGCACACCCTCATTTGGTGGCAGGGTTTGACCTAACATATTATCTATGAAAACTTCTGGACTTTCAAGACCCAGCAGCCCTAAGGGTTTCAGAACTAGCACAGAAGATCTGTACTAAGTGAATAACCCGAGTGCTACGGGGGGATGGCAAACTTGGCAAACGCAAATCACTAAACTCAGCAAAAGTAGAGCTTGAAGAATTTCCCTAAATTTTTGGAAGTAAAGCCGTCACTTACTTCTTAATCCTTTCATCTGCAGCAAGTATATCAAAACTACCAAGAGCCAGGAAGACTGTATCAGGGTTCATTCCCTAGTGCTACGGGCAAACCAAGGTCCTGAACTGGATGCCACCTTACCTCCCGGCCCGCCCCAAGTCACACGTAGACTACTCCAAATTACCACTCCCACCATTTCTACTCTGCCAGTTTTCTATACTTTTCAAAATTTGTCAAAATATATGCTTTCTAAAGTGTTACCCACTGCTTTAACAACTCAGTGTTTAAGTACAGCTATCAAACTATACCCATGAACTCTGGCTTTACAGGATGTGAATACTTATGCCAAAATTGGTCCCTCTGCCAAACAGGTTAGGTAACAATGGCTCTTTGAATTACAGGATTTTTCAGAGCAATTGTCCTAATAAGGTGATCATGAATCTCCAAGAAGGGAAGTGGTATGGTGGCTTCCTGCTCAAAATCTCTTTTGTGGTGACGCTCGTAGGACAACTATTCTGTGGATCACGCTTTGGGCATGGTTGGTTCCCAGACAACACTGCAGAAAACAATGCATACTGCTGTCCCCAGAGCCTACAACAGTGTCTGACACACAATGGGTTCTCAGACACTTTTAAGTGAACCAACAACATCCACTGCGGTATCTGGTGCAATAGCAAAACACTGGAAACAACCTAAATGTCCACAGATAGGAGCAGGTGCCAATCATTTATGGTACACAGAACACTACAAAGTTGTTTAAAACAGAAAGGGGAAACAGTTTTGCCGGGGGAGGGGAAATGGGGGAAGGTGGCCTTCAAAGATACCCTTAATATTTATGTAGTTAAAAAACTCAAAGACAAAGCGTAAGGTTCCAAGCCGGAGGGGAAGGAACTCAGCGTCTGCTGCATGACTCCGCACTGCTCTGTACAGCTGAAATAATTTATAATCTTATTTAGAAAAAAAGATTTATATACTCTGGGATGAAAAACAAGTGGCAAATACACCCCCTGCACAGGCAGGAGAAAGTACAATGGGTAGGCTTAAATATAGCGTAAGTTTGAATGGCTGCAAGGGAGAGAGCCCACGGTGGGCGTCTGGGGAAGTGAGACTGGCTTTCAGGGAGGGCCAAGCTTGTTCCTCTTCAATAGCTGCCTCTCTGTGCTGTCTGCATTCTTTCTCAACAACAATTACTACTTTCACGGTCACTTAAAACATTCTGACCCCCTGCTGAAGAGGTCTGTCCTGACCCCTCCAGCCACTGCTCAGCCTCCGGGAGCCTGTGGCAGTTCACAGAAGTGTCTGACCTTAAGAGGGGCAGGCAGGCAAGCGCGTCACCTCCTCCTGTCTCATGCCCATGGGGCCCTTCCATCAGAGCAGCAGACCTCCCAGCACAGGACTGAGCGGGGTCTGGATGCTCGCGGGAATGCGAATGTGGAGTGCGAGCTGGAGACGTGACTGCGAGGTCCGGGTGTGCACTAGCCCCAGCTACACTTATTTGGGTCAAATTCTAGATTCAGAATATGGCGTAATGGAATTATCTTCTTTCTAGTCAGCCTAATGTTGCTGCTAAAGCCTTCTACAGTCATTTACTGCCCACATGAGGACTTTAAGAAAATATACATCAATGGAACTGAGCTAAAAAGGTTTTTTTCCTCTTTTTCAAAGCAACCCTGATTTTATATAGTTAGTAATTATCTGGGTAATGGAGGTTCAGTGCAGTAAGCATTTTATTGTGTATTCATGTGTGTAGAGAACATGGTGACAGGGGCTGGGTGGTGGCACTTGCCTGGCATGTGTGAGGCAATGGGTTCGATTCTCAGCACCACATATCAATAAATTAATATAATAAAGGCCCATCAACATCTAAAAAGTATATTAAAAAAAAAGAGAGAGAACACAGTGACATACCATGACAAATAGAAATGAATGTCACATATCCTTTTTTCTTAAAGATTCCTGTCCAGTAGATGAACTATAAACAGTTAAGTCTAAGAAAAAAATGAGACACATGTATAACAAAAGTACAAATCAAATCTTAAACACAGAAACCTGGAAAGAAGAGGAAGAAAAAATGTCAAAAAGAAGTTAACACCTGAACAGGGCCAGGGTGACAAAGGACACTCCCACAGGAAGTGAGACGAACAAGGAAGTGACCCTGGCTGCGAGGCTAAGGGACAGTTGGTGCAAAGGCAGAGAAGCCTGGGGTTACAAGGTGTCCTCTGGGGACAACGCACAGTGAGGTGTGAGCCAATCCCACCAGAGACAGGTGGGAAGACGCTGGGCAGAGGCGCTGGGGCTTCGTCACATCCTCAAGGTTGTTTTTAAACAATGCAACAACTCTGTTAAAAGACAGTGGCAGGTAAAACAAGGTGGAAAAGAAGGTGACTGGAGATTAAAAAAAAAACTAGTCAGAGGGTTCCTGAGCAGAGGGGTGCAGGACGAGAGCGGACAGGGGACGCAGCAGGGGCAGAAGCAGTGGGATCTGCGGAGGGACCGGTAGAGAACAGAAAGAGCCGCACCTCGCACCTCGAGAGACTCTGAGTTAAGACCTGAGCAGCTGCAGCAGGCTCCCATTGGGGCGGGGAGCTGAGGAGATAAGAATAACCCATTTGGTTTCCGGACATGCCAGCAGAAACCCGGCCTACCACTAGGGTTCAAAGCAGGCAGCAGCAGGCAGCCTCGCTGGAGCCTCCAGAGGCCACAGAAGAGGAGGTGGAGGACAAGGAGAAGGGAAAGCAGAGGGCAGACTTGGGGTCGGGCGGAGGTGAAAGGAGCCCTAAAGAGTCAACAAAGAAACTGAGAGCACTATGAGGAAGCCCTGGAAACTAAGACATAAAGAGTCTTAGAAACAAATGACAAAAAGCATTTTAAGACAAGCCAATATTACAAAACACTGCAGAAACTCAAGTGAAGTTGAGCTTCTCAAATCAGAAATCCACAGACGCCACTCTTGGCCCGCATGCCTCAACTCAGAGTAGAGGGCCGGGCACACATTATCAGGGGCACCGACTGCACGAATTCAGCTGGCACGTATGTCAAACGCTTCGCGGTAACCAAACCCCATCACACCAGGAGGGAGAACTGAAAGCTCAATGAATTTTCAGAAAGAGAAGGAAAGGTGCTGGGGCAGGCTGCTTGGAGTGCGAGGGCCTGGCCTGCCAGCCACAGCCCTCTTCAGCCCACCCAGGGACCCTCTGGAAAGAACCACCACCAGAAAGTGCCGCCCACTCCCACCAGGTGGCGTCAACCCGAGGACAGAACTTGAGATGCAGAGCGGGCGAGAGGGAGAGCAAGTGAAAGTGGCCCTGAGAAGAGGGCTGGGGCGGGGGTCAGCGCAGCCCATGTCCAGCATGCACATTCAGGCCCTGGGGTCCAGGCCCAGCACCACCGGAAAAAAAAAAAAAAAATAGTAGAGACGCTCAGTCCTCTGACGCCACAGGAATTTTCACGAACAGAGCGGACCTTCTCGCTGCTGCTCACCAGATCTGGGTAAGACCTGCTGAATTAAAGAGAAACCACGGCCCCCTGCGCCAGGAGGACTCCTGCAACAGGAGCTAAAAGCCCACATTAAAGAAGCTTCTTACATTTTGCTGTCCTTTGACTCTTCAAAGGCATTTAGTTCACGGACGAGAAACTGTCTGTCCAGTGGAACTGCAGGTTGACCAGATTCTGGAGGGGAAAAATTCATTAAAACACCGAGTCTGTTAATCTAAAAACAAATGTGATTTTGATAACAACCAAACTTACCAGATACACATACGTTTTTCAGATTTGGGAAGATTAATGACAGAACAAAACAGGGTAGATCCAACTGCAACCGACTTTATGACTTTGAAAAATTCATTCTGTTAATGCAAAACGTAATGCAGTTTAACCTAAGTTTTTAAATCCCCAATTCTGGGTTGAAAATACTTCAATCAGTTTCCTGAGAAGCCAGTGCAGCATTACTCAGCCATAAAGAAGAATGACTTTAAGACATTTGCCAGTAAATGGATAGATCTGGAGACTATCATGCTAAGTAAAATAAGACAATCCCCCAAACCAAAGGTGAAATGTTTTTGCTAATATGTGGAAGCGAACCCACAATAAGGGGGAGAGGGAAATAATAGATGTTGATTAGATAAAGTTGATTAGATAAAGGGGAATGACGGGAGGGCTGGGGGTATAGCTCAGTTGGTAGAGTGCTTGCCTCCCATGCACAAGGCTATGGGTTCAATCCCCAGCACCACCAAAATATAAACACATAACTACTAATAACTCAATTTTGAAAAAATATATCCATTTGGCATCAGTAATTCTAAAAGTAAAACTGGACTTGATATCAAGTGCCGGCAGGGACACCGGCAACTGGAACTCTCGTACTTCCCTGGTGGGAAAGTAAAATGGCGTAGTCACTTTGGAAAACAGCTGGCCCCTTTTCCTATAAAGGTCTGTGAACATTTACCACACAACCCAGCAATGCTACTCCTAGCTATTTACCCAAGAGAATGAATATTCATGTTCACATAAAAACTCGTAAGTAAATGTTTACAGGGGCTTGATTCATAACTGCCCCAAACTAGAGACCACCTAACTGCCTAACCACTGAAACAGGTGAACTGGCAGGGCCACACTATTTCCCTGGGGATAATGCCACTTGCAGGGGACAGCCAGAATGGCTGAACCTCAGGTGCAGTATGCAAGCAACGGGAAGCAGAGTCAAAAGGCTTTACCAACATGCTCCATGCAGGATACTCCGGAAAAGAAGACCCCAGAACAGAAAAACTTAGTGTCAGGGCGGGGCTGAGTGACAAGGCTGGCCACAGATGGGTGCCAGAAAATCTCCTGAGGTGATGGAAATGTTCTGTGTCTCGACTGTGACTGTGGTGGTAGTTACACGATTGAACATGTTTGACAAAATCCATAGAACTGTACACTAAAAAAGGTAATTTTTTTTGTATGTAAATTTTACACTTTTTTTTAAAGCCAAAACATTTAATATGAAATTTGGTTACCTCACTGAATTTCATTCTAGGGAAGCCAAAATCCAAGATAACTAGCTGATGTCACTGGCATCATATAGCCATCTATAACAAACTGAGGGATGCAGAAATGTATGCTTAATATTAAAGGATCTGTAATGGAAAGTTCTAGCTAGTATTTTCTCCTGTACTATGTTAAACCTTATAAAAATTTGTTTGATGGGCTGAGGATGTGGCTCAAGTAGTAGCAAGCTTGCCTGGCATGCATGAGGCCCTGGGTTCGATCCTCAGCACCACATAAAAATAAAATAAAGATATTGTGTCCACCTAAAAGCTAAAAAATAAATATTTTTTAAAAGTTTTTGTTTGAGCTGTGAAAAGAGCACATATGATTTTTCTGATCCAATCACCCAGATGACACTGCTTGGTAATGAAACTGGACTTCTAGGATAAATTGGGAAAGGGAGGCACAGATTCTGCCTCAAATGATAAACCATGACCACTTACCTGCTGTGAGGACCGATGCCGTATACTTATATTTGTTGAATTCCAAATACTCCCGAATTAATTCGTTAATTAGAAGGTTTTCATGAGACAACGTTGGTCGGGGTTCATGATCATCATCTAGGGCACTGAAAACTTCAGCTCGGATCCTTGCTTTTAAATGCCCTAGTACCCCCCTTTTTTCCAAAGTGTCCTTTAAAACTGTTAAATATAAAATATTAATGCTTCAGTTATAAATTTTGTCACTGTTGGGTATGTTCTCAAGAAAAATGTTGAAAAGGTAAATAGTACAAATGCAGCCCTTGAGCTAAACAAAGTAACAAAGTGGTCAATGACATTGACTATCACAAACCATGCTTATAAAAAAAACAAACAAAAACAAAAACAAAGTTTCCAAGTTATGATTTACTCTGAATACAGTTGAAGGAATTCAGTTTTATCCCTATAGCATCTTTGCGGTCAGGGGCTGTAGTCTGAGACATACTCCGAGACTACAAACGGGAAAATATGGGGGGATTAGAAGTATAGTTAGCTTACCAGGACTTAGCCTACCTCCCCCATCTCTCCTATGTCCAAGAGTGTTTGTCACTGTAAATGGATTCTGGGCTTCTCCAACAGACTCCAGTTCAGAAAGGTGATTAAAGAAAACTAGCCGCCATAAAGAAAGGAATGTATCATGTTTTTTGTATAAAAGCCTTTGATACCCTTAGGAAATGGCCCAGTCTGAATGAAACGGTTTTGGGGGCTTTTTTGTTTTGTTTTTTTCTAATGACAGTTATGAGTGCTTAAAAAAGATAAAAGGGCCCGCAGTGATGGCCCACTCCTGTAGATCAATCGTAAATTCAAAGCCAGCCTAAGCAAAAGCAAGGCACCAAACAACTCAGTGAGACTCTGTCTCTAAATAAAATTCAAACTAGGGCTGGGGATGTGGCTCAGTGGGCAAGTACCCCCGAGTTCAGTCCCTGGCACCCCCCAAAAACAAAAGAAAGCAACAATGAAGGTGCTTGTTCCCGAGGTGGCCTGAATTCTATACAGGCAAGACACGAGGTATGCAAAAACAAAAAAACAAAAAAACAAAGAACCACAGAAAAAGAACAAGACACCCCTCCCTCCCAAAAAAGATAAAACGTCCATAAAATTTAAGATATTTGGCAAACAAGATTTCATGGACTTTCTTGTGGACACAAAGTACATTCAGAATTGGGGAAAACAGGGTAAATGGGCCCCTCTTCAAGTCACTGTAGGACACTCCTAGTCCCCAAAGAGTAAATCGCCTTCTGGGTTCCATATCATTTTCTCTTCTCCTCATTGTTATGCCTAGAACACTGCACCATAAAAACGCCATCAGAAAGAGGTTGTTGACCTGGCTGATCCCCCATGGAATACCTAAATTCTCTGAAACTGCACACGACATTAGGTGTGATGTGTATTTCTCCAAGGAGGGAGCCCACAGATCCAGTGCAGTTTGTTCTGATGTGACAGTTGCATGCCTCTTTTATGACTGTTCCCCAGCACAGTGTCCCCAATATACATTCACATCGCGGATGTGGGAATCATATTCCCAAAGTCATGCAGCTTCCTATTCTCCACCTCTCTACCAACGACTGGTTATCAGGCCCTGTGTTTTCTGAAAAACCAGAACTGGTTGGACTCATTAGCAGGTTTATTGCCCGGTGATGAAGACCTGGCATCGTGGTGCGTCTAATCTGGGTTCCCACACTGTCTCTTCCTCGGTAAATGACTTCGGGCACTTCCCCTGTTAACAGCTCAGTTTCCCAGTCCAGGCCATGGGTACAGGTGTTACAGGGCATGGATCAGACAACACACAGGCCGTGGGGAGTGCTTCATACCCAGCGCAGGCGCTGACAAGTACAATCACTAACACTTGTCGGAACGTCTGCTTCGAAGTTAACGGCATAAAATGTTCTTAATGACATGCACAGAACTACTACAGAAGTACTTCGGGGAACTTTTCCGAATGGCCACACCAGGAAACTCTGACCCCGGTTTCTCCTGGTGGACAGGAGGACCTCCTGCACAGGCTGCTGCCGGGACTCCTGAGCAAACCTAGCCAACCGTTCAGGACCGAGCTCCTACCAACGACGGCTGTGCGTGCAGCAATGATGACTGCCCAGTGGTCACGACCCTGCATCCCGGGGCAGCTCGGGTGCAAAGCCCGCCCGGGCCTTCCTCTCCCCAGCCCCGGCGGGGTCCAGAAAGACGCGCCAGAGGCCCAGGGTGCAGGCCGGGAGCAAGCACAGGGGCCCGCGGGTTCTGGGCTCTGGCTCCAGCTCGACGCCGCTGGACCTCCGCGTCCCTCCCAGAGCCCGCGCGCCGCGGCCGCCACCCCTGCCGGGCGCTCCCGCAGACCCTGATACCGCAGAACGAGCCCCGCAAAGGCCCAGCCTGTGTTCCTTCCGGCCCGTGCTCTTCACCGGTGGAAGTCGCGATGCTTACCACCCAGCAAGCCGCCCTGCTGGTACTCACCAGTCTTCAGCTCGGCGACAGTCGCCATTTTCAACGGCCGCCGGGGCCGCGCCGCGAAAGCGCGCATGCGCAGTTCCGCCCTCCCGCCCCCGGCGTGGTCTACAGCCAATAAGCGCACAGCCCAGTCCCGCCCTTCTCTGTTTATGCTCTCCGGGATTGGGTGAGTGGCGAAAGTCCACGAGAGACTCCACCAATCAGCGAGCGCACTAGGCGGGTCCTGCTCCGGGAGGAGGGAGGTGGGAGGAGCCGGGACAGAGACAGTTCAAGCGTTTACCGGTGGGTGCTGCTGGCCCCTTGGTGCTTGACTGCAGCCTGCGGAGCCGCTCGTCGTCCGCCCGCTGCTCATCTCTGCCGCTTTGCGTACTAACTGCTAATGGTTACCACCGTTCAGCCGGTGGCCCTCAAAGTGAGCAGGCCTCGGTACCATTTAGAAGACTGGTTAAGAGAGACGTCCGGGTCCCAGCCTCGGAGCTTCTCAGTGAAACTGAGGCGCCGACTGGGGCTTTGCCTTTCTATCAAGTTCCCAGGTGACGCCGATGCTGCTGGTCTGGGAAATCACACGTTGAGAACCACTGTGTTAAGCACCGGCTAGGAGCCTGACGTTCGGCCAAGTCCTTCCCATACCTTAGCTCCGTGATTTCCCTGTAAGATCCCCGGCAGATGGTGGCGGTGACATCTGAATCCAGGCCTCTTTCTCTTCAAAGCCGACCGACCGTCTTCCACTAGCATTTAATACTGCGCAGTGCACATATGGAATCCAAGAGCTGTTTGTGGAAATAACTGATGAAGGAATAGGCTCTCAGATTCCTAGAAAAGGAACATGGGAATGAAGTGTCCCAAACTGAGTGTGAGGTTGCATGATTCCAATTGCATCACCAGGGAGATGGAAAGCCTTGGTTATACAAGTGACGTGGATTGACCTGGGTTCTAGAACTGTACTCTTTAAAATGCTGGCCGGAAATATCAAGAATATAAGTAATAATAAATGTTGGTGAGGATGTCGGGAAAGGGTACGGCACATACACAGTTGATGGGACTGCAAATTGGTGCAACCACTCTGGAAAGTAGTATGGAGTTCCTCAAAAAAACTAGGAATGGAACAAGCCTTTGACCCAGCTATCCCACTCCTTGGTGTATATCCAAAGGATTTAAAATCAACATATTACAGTGACACAGCCATGTCAACGTTTATGGCACCTCAATTACAATTGATAAGCTATGGAACCAACCTAAGTGCCCTTCAAGAGATGAGTAGATAAAGCAAATGTGGTCTACGTACACAATGCAGCATTATTCAGCCATAAAGAAGAATGACTTTAAGACATTTCCTAGTAAATGGATAGATCTGGAGACTATCATGCTTAGTAGAATCAGACAATCCCCCAAACCAGAGGTGAAATGTTTTTGCTAATATGTGAAAGCGAACCCACAATAAGGGGGGAGAGGGAAATAATAGATGTTCAGTTGATTAGACAAAGGGGAATGATGGGAGGGCTGGGGTTTAGCTCAGTTGGTAGAGTGCTTGCCTCACATGCACAAGGCTATGGGTTCAATCCCCAGCCCCACCAAAAAAATAAAAATTAAAAAAAAAAAGGTGGCAGAGCAATGATGGGAAGGAAGGGAAGAACAGAAAAGGAAAGACAGTGGAACAAACCTGACATAATTTTCCTATGTACATATGAATACACCAGGTGAATCCCATCACCATGTACAACCAGAAGAATGGGGTCCTAATTAGATTAAGATATTTTCATGTTTGTATAATTATATTAAAATGAATTCTACTGTCATGTATAACTAAAAAAAAAAACAATAAAAAATAAATAAGATGCCAGACAGCCCAATAATAGATATTCTGGACCCCATTGTGCTCAGCACATTGTCAAAGATACAAGGTAACAAGTAGAAGACATTGAAGATTATTCTTTGAAGTTTTTGTTTCAAAAAATACATATTTTATACATATATTTGGATCCTGAGGTTGTCTTTCTTTTTAAAAAATTTTTACTTATTTATTAGTTGTAGTAGTTGTAGTAGTATTGATATTGAATCCAGGGGCACTCTACCAGAGTTACATCGACACCCCATTTTATTTATTTATTTTTTAATTTTTTAGTTGATGATAAATCTTTATTTTTTTAATACATGGTGCTGAGAATCGAACCCCATGCTTCACACATACCAGGCACTTGCGCTACCACTGAGCCACAGCCACAGCCCCCCCCATTTTATTTTTTATTCTAAGACAGATTCTGAGGTTGGCCTTGAACTTGGGATCCTTCTGCCTCAGCCTCCCAAATCACCAGGATTATAGGCGTGCACCATTGGCCCCAACTCCTGGGGTATTTCTCAAAGTGGGTAGCAGTTTAAAAAAAAAAAAAGTTAAAAAGACCATCCAACCGTAGCAGGCTCATCCTAATCCAGAGGAATCAATTCTCACCCTAAGATAGATTAATTTTTTAAAAAATATATTTTTAAATTGTCAATGGACCTTTATTTATTTTTATGTGGTGCTAGGCGAGCGCCCTACCACTGAGCCCCCGTCCCCACACCAACAGATTCATTTTTGACCCGGTGGGACACAGATCTGTTCTGGAACCTCAGAAAGTTCCTTCCCGTCAGGTCTCTCTACTCTGCAGCACCACACAGCTTACGTGCTTGGTCACCATCTCAGGAGATTTATGAGGATTAACTAAATTCCTTTGGTGAAGTTTGAGCTCTTCAGAAAGAAGCCCTACTGAATACATTGAGGACAAACTCAGAGGCAAAGAACACTGTGATTGATTAGTAGTGCCAATGATCATTAATCAGCACATCCTGCTCCAGAAGCTTTAAGTACTCACTAAAACCCCTCCAAAGTTCACACTTATTCTGCAATTATCTTGAGTATAATTTTCTTCAAAAATACACACTTGCTCTAGGTGAGGGGCAGGCACCTGTAGTCTCACTACTTGGAAGGCTGAGAAAAAAGGAGAAGAATCGGTTGAGCAAAGGTATTCAGGGCCAGCCTGGGCAACAAAGAGAGACCCCCCCCCCAGTCTCTTTAAAATAATTAAATCAAAACTTGAATTGAGTAAAAACGCTGCCGGCAAGGATGTGGTTAAGATAGGCACTGCCATAGCTAATGGGTGGGTGGGCAAATTGGCACCACCATCCAGAGGCTGTTTGGCAATATCAAATCAGCCTTTCATACCCTTTCACCCATCAGTTCTGATTCTAAGAATGTACTTTGCAGATCCTTACAGATATACTCACACCTAACAGCAAAGGATACATGTATAAGGACATATGTACATAAACAGTGATTAGCACTGTTTATTGTAGAACAAAACTACGTACAACTCTTGGTAAGGCTAACACAAGAACTGGCGATGCTAAATGCTGTCAAGCACGCCACATGGCTGGAGGGAAAACCAAGTTGCAGAGTCACTTTGGGAAATTGCTTGGTGATTGCTTATTAAGTCATACGTGCATTTATGTAGCCCTTGTAATCCCAACCCCAGGAGTTTACCCAAGATGCAGAAACTGAAGTCCACACAGAAGCCAGGAACTAATAAGAGCAGATTCATTCATAATTGCCCCAATCTGAAAATGACCCAATGCCTTATGACTGGTGAGTGAATAAACAAACTATGGTGAGTGTGCACTACAGAGTATCCCTTGGTAATAAAAAGGAACCAACCATGTTCCTGAGCTGAGTCTCACACCCACTGTGCACAGTGAAAGAAACCAGGTTCCAAAGGCTGCATCCTGTGTGATACGCCTGAAAACGCAAACACAGGGACAGAAAGCAGATCTGTGGGTACCAGGTGCTCAGGAGGACACAGGGGGATGGCTTCCCATGATGCACTAGGACACTCTGAGGTGATGGAGCTGCTCTGTATCTTGATTAGAATTACAGCCTTGTGCATGTTTGCCAAAGTTCATACACTGTACACTTGAAAGGGTGATCTTTACTCCAGGTATACCTCCCTCCACCTGACTTTTGAGGAATACTGGAAATATTGCTATCATCAGGGCAGGGACTGTGTAAATAAATGACAGTGCAGCCACAAGAGGAGTCCTATGCCCTTCTCCCAAAGACGGGGTCCTAAACATCCATATTCACAATTACATCAAGATGCATGCACAGGTGGATTAAAAACCACAATCCAAGACCTGAAATGTCTTCTCAAATGAAGAGGCTAACTTTGATGTTGGCAGATGGGATTCACACCTCTTTCTGTAATCGCAGTCTTGTTAGAACACAGCGGAGCTCTTTTTTTTTTTTTAATACAATGTCTCTGGCATCTTCCACCCAGGATGCAAGAAAGTCAAGAAGTTGCCAGAAAGCTCAGAAGCTTAAAAGTGTCTGATCTGGCACTTTGAAGAAAACTTTGCCAACTCCTGAATAATTCTTCCATAATTTTTCCAGGAAAGGGGTACAATATTAATGAATCAGCCATTATTTTCTGAACAATACCAGTAATAATAAGAAGAAGAATGGACATTTATAGAGCTCTTGAGATATGTGTGTGTGTATGTGTGTGTGTGTGTGTGTTTTCTTATCATCTGAAAAGCACCTGAGCCAGGTGAGGACCACCCCTGTGTCACAAAGAAAGTGAGCTTCAGAAAATCTGAGTCACTTGGGAGTAAATGGCTAAGTATTGCTCCACCCCACATTCACGGAACCCTGCTTAGTTACTCCCAAGAGACACGGTCCTCCTCTCTCTCTCTCTCTCTCTCTCTCTCTCTCTCTCTCTCTCTCTCCTTCTGTATCTCCTTCTTTCTTCTCCTCCTCCTTCTTTTTCCTCTTCTTCCTTCTCTCTGTCTTCCTCCTCCTTCCCCTCCCCTCCCCTCCCCTCCTCTTCTCTCACCTGGCCCTTCCCTCAGCCTCTAAGCTCTTCCTGTCCTGGGTGATTTCCACCCATTCTTCTCGTCCAAGTTGGTGAGCACGTCTTCTCCCCTGGATACATGAGGCTCTTGTCAAATCTGTTTGGGGAAAGGCTAAAGGAAGCTTCAAGTACAGATGCACCACAGTTGCCCTCCCCCAGGCTCAAGGTCATGGCCTCCCTTGAGGCCAGGCTGCTTTCAGAGCCTGGTACCTGTTGGGGTATA